TGAGGCCTAAATACTCTTTTTTGACCATTTCCTAAAAACCCTCTAACTTTATGGATTCCCACACTCTCCCTGTCTGCCTTTTCCCCAGCATGTGCACCCCTTGCAGCCATTCTCAGGTTTCAGGATGTGTTTCCCCATAAGGGACCCCAGCAGGACTGCTCAGTACCTGCATGCTTTTGGTCTGCATGAGGAGATTCACCAGCTTTCACATTCTTTTTTTTTCCTCCAGACTTTGGTAGTACTGCCAAAAAGCAGATACAGGTAGAGCCTCAGCATGGCACAGGCACTGAGGATATACGAGGATGGGGAGGTTCCCTCTAGCTTGCTTGCCCTATATACGAGTCAGAACACTAATGTGGACCTCAGCTCATGAGAGTGGTCCTGCCTGGGGCTACTTTGGTAGCTTTGGTCACCTAGGTACTCAGGACAAGCTCTGGGATGGAGCTGCAGGGGAAGTGGTAAATGTACTTTCTTCTAGCTAACTTACCTGTGGGATTATGCATATGCTTGGTGTCTGCAGATTTCTGTGAGCCATCAGCCTCAGCATCTTAAAGAAAATTGCTCTTTAGTAAGCTATTGACACATAAGTGATAATTATTCTTTCAAAGGAAGGGACATTGAGAACTTACATGGTCCAAGCTCACCCAAGGGCTCCAAACCATCTTTCCTCCAAGCTGCCAGAGAATCTGCTAGAGAATCAGCTAGAAGCAAACACAGAGAAGTGTTTCCATTGTGTGTTGGGATCTTCTGCTCATGTGTTCAGAAGTCCTGGATGGGGGTCAGGTAACAGTGTGGGAGCCAGATGTCAGTGGATTGCCAGAGCTGCAGGGGACATGGGGACCTCTGAGCTGGCAGTTCAACACTCTTCAAGCACAATGTGCAACACTCCTGGAGGAGAGATGAACCCTTGGGACTCTCTTAACAGGAGAGTGCTCACACAGAGGAAACCCTCACTAAAGCATTGGAGGGAAGACCCCCCTAGCCCATGAAAGGCTGGACCAGTGCTGGCAGCTTACCTGCTTCCTGTGATTTCTGTGGAGCATAGTTGGCAGCCAGAGAATGCAGGACCATCAAGAGAACGAAGAGGGAGAGGAAAAGACGCTGGACGAGGGCCATGGTCCCCCTTCCACCACACTGCTGCTGCTGCAGTTGGGGTTGGGGGCTGAGCAGTTGGTTGTTATGGCCAGTGCAGTGCCATGGAGTTCTGTGACCTCATGGTCTTCTGCAGCCAGGGCAGGGCTGTGTGGGGATGGAACTTGGGGTGCTCCTGGGAAGCTGCCCTCCCAAGCAGGGGAGCACATCCCATAGGGCAGCTCCATCCAAAGGCTGGGACACGGCCTCCCCACTGCAGGATCAAGTACACCTTCTACAAGTCTGCAGACAATGCCAAGCTGAGTGGTGCAGTTGGCACACCTGAAGGATGGGAAGTCATCCAATGGGACCTGAATAAACTTGAACCCTCATGAGGTTCAATAAGATGAAGTTCAAGGCCCTGCACCTGCTCTGGGGCAATCCCCTGTATCAAGCTGCAGAAGGCTGTAGCATCTGCTTGGTTAACAATGTAATTTTTAAAATAAGACTAAAAGAGTATTTTAATAAAATATTGCGTTTAGTTGAGTAATTCTGTATGTAGAATAGGTAAGAGAAAAAAAAAATTTATCTTTGGGCCGTTTTTGTGGTTCAGCTATTTTTTCACTGTAATGCCTTTATACTAAAAACTGCTCAAAAACCACATAGAATGTTTTGAAGAACTTCCCAGTTGTATCTCTGATAATCAGTGGGTTATCATGCAGGCTTTCTTCTAGAAAGAGATTAGATACAATGAAGAAATTCTTCACTAAACGTGGTGAGGCACTGAAACATGTTGCCCATAGAAATGGTGGCTGCCCCATCCCTGGTAGTGTCAAGGCAAGGCTGGATGGGGTTTTGAGCAGCCTGGTCTAGTAGATGTTCCTGCCGGTGCCAGGGAGGTTGGAACAGAATGATGTTTAAGGTCCCTTCCTACCCAAATCATTCCATGATTTTGTGATTGACTTGACTTTCTGACTTTCTGAGCTGGGTAGTGTCCAGGATTTCTGTCTGTTGTGGTCTTCACTCTGTCATCCAACAGACTGATTTTCTCTCAGTTCCCCTAAGTCAAAGGTCAGTCTTAAGCTTTAAGCAAAAGCATGACATTCAAGCACACTGGCAGTTTGGATACTGAATAGCTCTCTGTTTGCTGCCACACCAAGCCCATTCTTTTTTTGGTTTTCCTTGCTGTCCGTATCTTTCCAACCCATGGTGTGTTTGTAGGCTGGACTTCTCAGAAGAGCATCTATTAACAGAAGAAAATGTCTTTATGTGGCTGAATGGACAATATTCTCTGCCTTACGTGACTTCAGAACTGCTTTCCCCTGCCTTTGTTACTGTGTCCTTGAATTCTTTAGTGAACCTGAAGAAATCTGATCTCACTCTTAAGGAAGACATACTTAGCAGTACTTTTGGTATGTTATGTTCCCAGTGTTCTCTTAGCCTATGGTTAAAATTTCTCCAAGGGTGGGTTAAACTGTCCTTGGAAATTCCTTTCCCAAGGGGTGTTTGTATTGAGTGGATTTGAACTCTTGCCTTCAAATATCTCTCTGTGAGGTATATATTTCTTATGGTTATAACTATTCTCCACATAGGTAGGGAAAATTCAGGCCATTGTGGCTGGCAACTCACATCTGAAGTCATTCTTTAAAGACAGAGAGTATTGGTGATACTCTACAAGTTTATTCTCAAGGTGGTTTTCTAATTCTGAATTAATTTACCCTAACCTCTTCCTTCTGGTGATCAGAGCCTGCTGTGCCTTCCTTTTAGTAGGAAAGGTATTCTTCTTGCAGCTATCACAGAATGGTTCTCAAATGGTCCCTTGTGCTGGCAGGCCCTGAATGGGTGGAACATCCCTGTACTAACATAGTGCCTTCTGGCAGGTCTCAAACTACTGCAATTGCCCTGAAGAATGTCTCAGAAACATTTGACATGCAGTCTACTGAAGGTTCATGTACACCTTCAAAGAACAGTGTGCACAGTAATAAAGTATTCAAGATCATGTGATCCTTGACACTGCAATTTTCCAGTCACTATTTTTATGGATGCCAAGTCCACCTCCCAGGTTTTCGAGTTGCACCAAGCTATATCTTGAAGTCACTTATCATCTGAACAGAAGAGAAGCTACTTATGTACTGACTGTGATGCCCTGTGAAGGCTGATCTAGAACAGAGGCTAGACAGAGTTAAAGAATAAAGTAAGGATTTATTAAAAGACCTCAATGGATACACCTTGGGCAGTACAAGAGCCCAGCCAGGACTACACCCAAGATGAACCTAAAATGGTAACATAATGGATGGCAGGTCACAAGGTCTCTCACTTTTATGAGTTCTGGTTCATTGGCATATTGGAGTTAATTGTCCAGTTATAGCTTTAGATTATGAAGTCCCATCCTGCTTGTTTTTCTCTCTTCATTCCACCATTGTTTATGCTCTTGGGCCTGAAATTTGGGTCTGTTGTCCTTGGTCCCCAGCTAGAGAAGGAATTGTTTTGTCTACCTACTCTGTGAAGAGAGCTTACTATCCCCTAATATGAACCCTAGACTCAGACCCATACACTAAAGCAGTACAGAATTTGAAAAATATAAAAGCTAAAACCTGAGGCATCAGCTAACTGGTGGTGTGTGATGCAGCTGTGAATCCCCTTGTAGCCTTTGCTTTCTCAGAGGGACTCCAGAATTCTGCTCCCCATCTCCCTCTCTCCTTTACACCATGAGCTCAGCCTCATGGGCTGGGGGGGATCTTCTGCAGGTACTACCAGAGAAAGTTTTTTCTGGCCAAAAAATACACTCACTGTGTGCACCTACTGTATGCATGTGGACTGCATATGTTGAAAACGTCTAGTAACTATAATCTCTTTTCTTTGAAAAATACTAGAGTCATACAGTTGGGTCTTTATGACTAACGATGCCTCTGAAAATATGTATTTTAGATCTAGTTTTACTGAAATGCTGATTGTGCTTTCTGTAGTGACTTTACTGTGACAGTGGCCACATTTAAGAAAAATATAATAGCTGCACTCTTGTAAAAACAAAAAAAGTTAATCAAACCCTTATTGAGATTGATTATTTGTCCTGGAAGAGGGTCATTTCACATGTGATTTTTCTGCAAAATTATAATCTAAAATTCATAAGTTTATAACCCTGGAATGACTTTTCCTGCTTTGTGTATTTTCATTTCAGTAAGTCTCAGCAGTTTTGTACCACGACAGAACTTCCTAAGTATTGATCTGCCTGTGGTGATAGAGACATTTTGCAAGTATCCTTTGAAGTATGTTTGTTCTTTTAAGGTAAGAAGGGAGCTCTTCAGAATTCAGTGACCTAAAAACTTCAGTTGAATGTCTTTTTAGACAGGATACCCTAAAATATTTCTGTAGAGATTTGACATCTTTATCCCATCTCTGCATTGATTATTGTCCATGTGCCAAGCTAAAAATGAAATCTCTCACTTTCTTGTGCTTAAGAGCATATTTTTGGTCAGTTTTTTTTTTTAACTCTTGAGGGTGAGCCTTAACAGATGTGACAAGAAAGCCAAAGTAAGCCCGAATTTAAGTCAGGAAAAAAGCTATGTGCTTGCTAGCTTTGCAATATCTGAGTTTTATTATTTTTGTGTCATTATACTGAACTAAATAAGAGGATATGGCAGTTTTGTTTTTGTTTTTTTCTTCAAAAGAAAATAGAATAGCTGTTCAAAAAACAGGATAATTCAATTAACTCTTGCTTATTAATGAAGAAGATTATATATATACACATACTTATAGATTAGTAAACTTGAATGTGGGTAATCTAGGAATCCTTAGCCTTAGGAACTGAAGTGTTTATGTATGGCCATAGAATAACTAAACTGTGCAGTTCAGTTTGATGAAAGTCCATAGAAGCAGAGGAAAGGTACCACATAAGCTGCTGTTTTCTGAGAGCACATCCAGGTTCTCTCTGCCCCAGCTGCTTTCTGGCTGTGTGCTCTTGCCAGGCCGTTCAGGATGGAGGTGGGTACTGCAGTTAGCAAGCCTTGAACCAGCACTGAAGTTTACCTGCCTGTGCCTCATTCCCACGTGCACACACATGTACAGAAATCCACTCAGCTTTTCTGCCTAACAGGTAGGTAGGAGAGATAGGTCAGATTTCTGATGATATTCTAGTCATTTACTAGGGAGTGTTTTGGAAAATATTCCTAATCATGATTTCATACTTGGGTCTAGAATACCTTCTTAGTTCAGGCATGGCAGCATCAGAGCTATAAACTTCCTCCAAAACCTCACAAAGCAAGCAAAGAAGATGGTGGTTTTGCTGTCTCCTGCTTTCACTCAAGTTGTGAGGAGTGCAGGTTTAAGTATCCCAACTTAGCTCTTAAAAAACAAAAATCTGTAAAGGCAATTCCCTGAGTGGGTATGTTATGGCATAAAAGTAATTTTACTCATATCATTTCTGTGAAACAGAATGGTAGCTAGAAAAATAATCTTTGTATGTCTCTCTCTGCATACTGGAAATACAAGACATGTCTCTCTATTTTTTATTAATTTTTTTTTAACATTTTCTCAGATATTTTCAATGAACCTTAACTAATTCAACCAGGTACCTCATCTCACTGTCAGGAGCACTGGCAGTTATCAATGCTGTGCCCTGCTTCGCTTTGGATGGTCAGTGGATATTAAATTCCTTCCTGGAAGCCACACTGAGCTCCCTAATTGTAGAAAAACAAAACAGAGAGCTTGTTGGCTTTTTGATTTTGCTTGCTGGGAGTGCACTTTTGGCTGCCAATGTTGCACTGGGACTTTGGATGGTGACGGCGCGATAGAACATCGGATTTTCTTCCATCAGTTCTCAAAGTACACAGAAATAATGAATACATTACATTTCAAAATGTGTCCAGTACTGAGATTGAAATAATTCCCTTAATATGACACTGAAAGAACAATCAACTGGTGGTTGCTGTTTTAATTTAAAACTTTATAACACCATGCCTGTGGTCATGGGAAATGTAGTAGGAAAAAGTAGGGGCCTTTTTATTTACTCTTTAAGCTCTGTATTTATTCTGGAGAAATTTCATTTTAAGATTTCATAGGAAAAATTCAGACTTCATTAATTCAGATCTCAAAATAAGGGAATTATTTTGCCTCAAACATTTGTAAAGTGGGAGAAAAAAAACTGTTTTGTTTTATAATTTAAATAATTGTCTGTATAGGCTTTGATAATTTCTTAATCAGCATAGTCTTCAGTGACTTGTTTTGGTTTTTTTTAGTCTGGTATTCTACCAAACTGGATTTTAAGAAGCCCTAAAGTATGTTCTCAAAATGGGGAAAAGCTAGGTAAATGCTTACCATGTGTTAATGGGGAGAGAGCAGCCATTTGGGTTAATGGCTTTCCTTTCCACCTGGCCAAAATGACTGGAGGAATGTTGTCCTCAGGATGTAGATCAGGGGTGCCAATGTCTGCTAAAAATGAAGCATGTAGGGGGATAACAAAGCCCACATGTTTGTGTTCTTACACTTTCAGTTGTATGTTATCAGACACAGCTGAAGTTTTTTTAAAGGCAATATTTGTCAGCAATAGCTACAAGATAACTGAAATTTAGTTTCTGAGTGCTGAAGTATGCTGTGCACAGTTTTCCTAAGTGATATGTAATGTTTGTGGTGTTTTACTCAGAAAATAATACTGTATTCTACCTGTTCACAGTTGAAAGTGAAACCTAATGTTTTTATGGTGTCTATCTTCTAATGCTATGCATGCAATATGTACAGTAACTCACTGATGGTTTTCTGTATTTCAAAGGGTAATTTTCCTTTGTTAGGATTCATTCTGTTCAAAGATAGCTAACAAAGATATTTAGCTTGTCTTAGACATGAGTTATTTAGAGGAAGAATATGATTGATACTTGTGCTATTTAAACATTTGGCTTTGCTTTCTGAGATGAATACAGACCATATCCTTGTTCTTAAATCAACAGTGGAAGGATAGTCAGTGTTTTACTGACTGAAGTATGTCTGATGTGCTTTGAAGTTCTTTAGGTTTGCAATGTTTTGTACCCAATAGGATTATATATTTCATCTTTTCCTCCTGTGATATATTGCCTAGTTTATCTAAACCAGGTTCAGTCAGAGTCTTGCCTCTGTAGGCTGATATCTAAACAAAAATGCTCTGGTTTGGGAGCCTAAATATTTGGAATAAAAAATTTTAGAAAAATACCCTGCAACTTCTGCCTCATACAGTGTTCCCCATAGGAACTGCTGCAGCTCAGAGTTCCTTTACAGAATGGCCTTTCCACCAGGAACTGAAGTGGAACCAAAGCTCACAGATCCTGGCTTGCAGGGAGCACTGAAACATCCAGGACCAGGTAAAATAGATTCTTCTGACACTTGAGGTGAAAGCCTGGGTATTTTCAAAGGAGGCTGAGCCCAATTCCTGGTGTTGCTGCACAAATTTATAACCCTATGATGTTTGCATTTGCCCACTGATGTGTACTTTTGCACAGTAACTTTCACACTTCAGATGCACTCCTTTCCTACAATGATGCAAGCAGTAATGATTAAATAAACCATGTTTATTTCTTTGTTGTTGGCTAGTTCACATCCCCTTCCAGCACTGCCACAGGCTGGGTGGGCCCTTGAAGTTCACCTCTGTGGGGTGGCTGGCCTGTGCCTCTCCTTTTCAGTCATTTCAACCCAGGCAAACTGGGACAGGTCCTGGTAGGAGAGAGTGAATCCTTCAGTCCAGTGTGAGCTGGCCCCTTTGGGGGCCATTAAAAGTAAAACAAAGTGCAAGAAAGGAAAAGCAAACTACCCTGTAAGTCTAACTTGTCATCACTCCTGGAAACACAGCGAGGATTCAGGGTAGCAGATGGGCCACTCTGCCATCCCTCAGTGGGCAGGAGGACAGGAGCAGCCTGGTCCTTGCACAAGACCTGGCTCTGAGACTGTTCCAGACTGCCCTCTCACCTCAGTGGCTGTTTACTGACCTGAGCTCTTCCTTTCAGTGGCTCTATAACACTTTCCTCTGTATCATCCAAACTACAGTGCAAAAAAATAATTTGGACTTAGAAGTTTTAATGTAGTTTAGTAAGACAGGATATTGACTTTCAAAACATGTCAAGTTTGATATTTATTTATTCATGTTGACTGCAATGGCTTGGAACAATCCTTTAGCATAGTGCCTCTCATGGAAATGTAGGCAACAGATTTGGGAAAACCCAAAGCTTCTGAATTGGCATGCACAAATTTCATCTGCTATAATGAGGCTGGCTGGCTGTTCCTGGTTATTTAGTGTGCTACCAAAACATGAAGTTTTATCAAATGAAGCAAAAGCCAGTGTACTTTACACAGTCAGTGAATGCCACAGTTCTGCTGAGTAGAACTTCAGTCTGTGTCTGACCTCATAAGGAAGAAGAGGGTGGAGAAGCCATTGGTCATGGCTTTAGCAAAACAGACCCACTAGTGCCCTGTAAAGACCCTAGATACCATGTATGGAAGAGAGAGGACTAGAAGTGCTTAAAAATAATTCATTAGTTCATTTCTCCACATGCTAAAATTTGACTGAGTAAGGGTTGATTTAGGTAGGTACAGGATCTTTAGATCAAGACTTTAGGCAAACTGAGTATGAATGGTGACCCAGCACATCTTAGACTAGTGTAGACAAAGGTAATAGTCAGGTTGGACTACTCTCTTAAGAAGAAGTTGTTCAGTGGGTCCATTTTATTCTCTATAATCCTGACATATGGATTACATTCTGATAAGCATGTGCCATATGTACACTCACTGGGATGATTTTTCCTTGGGTTTTGGTCATTTATTTAGCAAGAGAAAACACAAAAGTACAGAGTGATTTTTGTGTGTTGGATTTTTACATCAGTATTTCTGATGTGTGTTTTGTTTTTGTAAAATTAGAGTCTTTAAATTAAATCCTTCTACATCTTATTCTAATTAGCCCCTCAGAATCTTTACTACAGAATCCATCAATATAATTTTAGGGCATATTGACTGGACTATAAAACACAGCACTCGTAAAGATTGGATGGCTGCTATTATTTATGTATATACTATGCATTTTAAATCTGTATCAGATGGAAAAAGTAATGTCTAATATTCAGAAATGTTATACTTAGCTTTTGTTTGAAAATTTCCAGAAGAATTCCATAATTATAATCATTGTTCTACTTTTTTAAATGAAGTTGTTTTTTATATCAGCAGATATTTACATAGCATTTTCTGATCGTGCATGTATAACATGAAAATGGCAAACACCTTAGCATGGAGGATGTTATATGCTTTTTGCTAACTTGGGAATTTAAAAGCAGCTTGCTTCTGTACAAATTAAATGAAAGAGGCTTCAGTAGAAAAAGTATAGGCAAACTTGCAGATTAGTCATCCCAAATTATGAGCCACAGTGGAAAATGTGATAACTCATCCTTTTTATTTAGAATGAAACAACCATGTTATTAGTTTCTGTGACAACCATGTTAATAGTTAATGTGATAATTTTACATTTGTGGATACGTGTGTACACATACATTTGTGTAACAGATACATACATAGCCATGGGGTGGATTAGTGCTTTTTTAGGGATAGCTTACAGCAATCCTCCATATCCTGCAATGGAGGCTTTTGTTTTTCTTTTTCCACCTCTCTGTGAATTCTCTCTATGGTTTTCTCTGGATTTAAAAAGAGAAACTTACGTTTTCTTCCCAAAAGCAATTCTTAACTTCTTTCTTAACAGAAGACAAGTGATGGGTTCGTGATGTAACCACAGGTGCATGAGTTTTGTTCAGCTGATGTTTAAAGCATGTTTTTTATTTCTGTGAAGCCTCAGCTACAAGCATGGTAAACACAGCTTTTTCAGGGCAACTAAAAAAGGTCAGCCTTCACTCTTTACTGCTGCTGTTTGTGCTGTTCTGGAGAACTGGGATGAACACGGCTCTGTAGAGCATAGTGAAGAAATAAAGTTTTCAGGACAGAACTCTCCATGGCAGTCAGGGTGTTTCAGCTTTCTTGTAATAAGGATATGTTTTGTTCAGTTTAGCACATGAGCAATCCCAGCATTCCCATAGCTTCCCATACATTTTACGTGATGCCAAAGGGTGACCTGTAGGAATATTTTTAAAATAAATTATGTATGTCTTACAAATTCAGAGCTTTCATACAGATCTGGATATCACTAATGACAGATGAAGAAGGCTTATAAAGGTTTATATAGCCTTGTCTGTATTTAACTGTTTTTAAAATACATGAGTTAAACTCTAGATATAAGTAGTTATTTGTAAAATATGCTTTCTGTACCCCTGCATTCAGACCAATTTCCACAACCAGTCTTGCCTCAGCTTTGTTCTTGTAATTTTGTGAGTAAGGTATCTTGAACCTTAACACAGGTAAGACCCAATATTGGCAAATATTTTATACCCTCTTGATCCTGAACTTCATGTGATGTGTTGTATTGATTAGTTATTTATGTGACTGAGTTACCTGGGATACACACCCTGCACAATGCAGTATTTGGGAACATTGCACTGAGGACTGCCACAGAACAGCAGCTCTGTGACTCCTGGGCCTTGGGCTCATCCACTCCAGCATGTGAAAAGCAGATGGCAGTGTTTAAGGGCAGTGAAGGACTTGAGTTCATGGCAGCTTTATGAAACTTTCACACTGCTGACCTGGTGTGAAAGGACAGGAACAAAGAGCAGGATATGACACTGCAATTCCTTTCATTCCATTTACATTGTCATGAAACCTGAAAAGAACTTGTAATTAACATTTCAGAGCAGGAAGATATGTTTTCCAGCCTTTCAGTGAATCATTCAGTGACTGGTGGTCAAACTTTTTTCTTAACACTTTGTCATTCCTTCAATAAATATGTGCTGATAAGTAGCATGAGTAGTTGAAGCATATTTTGTAAAATGGACTTGGGTATTTCTCACCTCTGGATGTTCATCCTGGGATGTTTTTGTAGCATCATAGTATAATTGGTCTTCATTGATACTGGTTGAAAGTTTGGAGGCTATTTCCAAGCCTATTTGAAAAATCTATTTCCAAGTTGTTTGTTAATATTTTAAATTCATCTTTTCCTTACATTACTTTGTTTTTAGATTGCATATACTCAGTTGATCTTATCTGAAGCCTGTCAATGGAATATGTATTGTTTAGAAATTCACTGTGGGATTTTTTTTCCTTCTACATGGCCTTATTTTTCACACCGACTCACAGCTGTGGAATGTTAGATTTCTAGACCCTTTGTTCCCACTATGCATTGTTCATGATCATGGGTTTTTTAAAAAACAGGAAAAAAAGAAAGCTTCATTTTGAAAATGTCAGCTAACAAATATATGGAACACTGAATAATGTATTGTGGTTTTGTTTTGCTTTTTTCTCTATTTAATTAACCAAACAATAAGTATTGTTTTCTATGTATGATAAATGTATCCTGCAAATAAATTCATTGTCTAATTGTTGATGTGCTTAAGTCTGTTTTTAAAAATAAGGTAGAGAGACATAATTCCTTACTAGTGGCAATTGCCATATTCTGTCATATATTCTGTTCTCTTCATATGTGATGCATATATTCTCTCTGGGTACCAACAAGATACACCATCCTTTTCAGTGTCTGACCACCTAAAAATAATTTCTATAACTTTACTGTCCCTTATTAATCAGCTTATCACAGTAAGTAGTAGTTGAAATATTGCATGCTGGATGTCATGGTCAAGGTAAGCAAAACCACTGCTCTGGCCAGTCCTGTGTGAGGAACTTAGAACGTCAGCTCTTCCAAGGTGAACTCACATATGACAACCTCTGATTTGTTTATCCAGGCCAGCCCCGAGCTGGGCACATCCCCTGGTTCTGGACAGGTTTCCTTGGATGTCCAGGTGGTGTCTGGGCTGTGCTGGCACCCAGCTCTGTGTGGGAGGGAAGTGTTGTTGCTGTTCCTTGAGCAAGCTCATCTGGAGCCAGCCAGGTTATTTGTTCTGAGAACTGAGCCAGCCTTTGTTGCCTATTGGACACGCTGTTACTTTATACAAGCAGAGCTGTTTCAGCAATTGTGGCTTTGTTCCCAGATAAAAGATTGCCATGACAAATGGACAGAAAGCACAGATTGGACACATTGGTAGGATTTCCCAGATAGGTCGCTATGCAGTTTTTACAATTTTCTGAATTGCATTTCTCTGGCATGAGGAGATGAGATCCCTTTCCTCCTACCCATGTTAAAGCTAGATACAATAGCATTTTTTTTCTGAAGCATGTAAGCTTTTAGGAGAGTTCTGAGGTTTTTCAGTTGGTTTTGAAAAGCTTTTCCTTTATTGTGATGAGGTATGTTCATGTTCCTCTTGTAATCTGGAAAAACAATCAATTATATCCTAATGTCATCCTGAGGAATGTTGCCTTATTCACTAATGTAATTTCAGGGTAAAATTAAAAAAAGAAACCCTGTATCTACAGGTCTTATTGCTGGTAACTTTATAAAGAAAGCTAAATATAATTCTTCCTGTGATCATACCAGTTTGAACCACCAAGCAGAAGCATTCCTAAGTATCTGCAGTAGATCTGTATGCACTGAACTCAAATATTTTTAAAGTATTTTTATGATCTTCTGATGTGACCTGCACAACAAAATAAAATTTAAGGTTTGATTCTAATCTTATGGTGGTAAACAGATAATTCACAGCATTTATGAGGACTTAGCTGATAAATGTCTTGTAGCTAGACCAAAATTTCCCCCTTTTTTTACCTCAGAGAGATGTGGGTCTGGTGTTTGCTTTCATACTTTTAAGGCTCTGCTGTTGTTGAAATATAGTTAGATATTAATACCAATTATGTATCATATTTTTTACATCTATGATTAGTTCTACCTCTTTTTAGTTCTTTGCAAGTATATTAGTGGCTGCATACTATATCACTGCCACTTCTGCCTGTCTTGAAAACACATGGTCTTACATCCTTTTTTATTTCCCCCTCAAAGGAATCTTCCAAACTGAAAATAAATACTTTTTTCCCTTTTTTTCTTTTTAATGTCGTCCTTTTAACTTGCTATTGCATTACAAAGTTCCTGTTCTTTTACCTTTTATGGGTCTTTGAGGACATCTATTAAAATATTACCAGATTTTTTTTTTAATTTCCCCAAACCAACTGAATTTGATTCAGTTGCCCACGCAGGCATCTGTTGTGGTCTGAGATATCCTAAGGTGTTCTTAGGTTAAAAATCTGACTTGAAAGAACATTTTGAAACTCATCCCCCACTTGTCTCCTTTTGTCTCCTGGTGGATGAGTCCCAGGGTTTCTGAGACCTACACATGGGGCTTCCAGATGTGGGTGAGACCCTACAGGAGATCAAAGACATTCTGGACCAGCTGCTGGATACTTGGAAAGGTACCTGAGGGCATTTTGTATCACACCAGATGCTTGCACGTGGGCAACAAATCAAGCCAAACTGATTCCTTTCCTTCCTTGCATTTTTTCTTTTTGGCTCATGAATTACAGTAGACTGAGGCTTTTTGAACAAGTATATCTGACATAAAATTCATCTAAGCTTTTCTGTTTATGCAGAGCAGTGTGATCCAGACTGTTACAAATGTCAGGCTGGCAGAATACATTTATCCTCCTCCTGCACTGACCTGAGGCCTGGAAGCAGCAGAAATTAGTGTTGCTGCCTCACCTACAGCAAGAAAAAGGAAGGCTGATGTTATGAGGAAAATCCCATCAGTCTCAGGCTGTGGAGGCACCAGGTGGACAGAAGGCATTGAGGGGGCTGTGATCATCTCTGCCAAGTGCCACAATTGTGCATTTGACTGGATTTAACTTGTAGGACAAAAGAAGTGAGACTTACAATTAAGAATGTGATAAAGTCAGGGAAGGCAGTGATAGAAAGAGTTTTTTTTTCATTTACAGAATCATTAATAACTCCACAGTAAGCATTTTTACTGTTTTTTTTTTTTTTTTTCCATTGAAGCTTTCATAGAGCTGACCTGCAACTAGAACTAACTTCAGTCATTGGTAGAAACACACTGGTAGCAGGATCAGAGGGGCAATAAAAGCCTGTCCTAGACAGCAGTTCAGGGTGTTCAGACTTCAGAGATTTGTCCCTCTCCCTGACTGAGGATCAGGACCAATCTGACTTTCAGTTAGTCTGGATGCAAAGTCAGAACTTTTCTCCTCCTGTTTCCAGAGTCCCCCTTCAGCATGAGTTAACCTTACAAATGCAATTATTAAGAAAATAATTTTTTTAAATGTTTTGCCCCTTGGCTCTGTTTTCGTTCCTGTAGCTATTTGAATAACTAGCAGATACTTGGCCAAACCACCTGTATCTCTACCACTACTGCAGAATCAACAAAGATTATGAATGTGCATTATAAACCACAAGTTCCTGGGTACTTGCCACTGGTTATACCAACATTTTTTTTTCCTTCACTTTGACTGTTTACTGCTCTTTATTAGATGCTTGAATTTATTCCCTGGAAATGTTGTGGCATTTGCAGTGCTAAACGTGCTGCAGTGCTGAAGGAACGAAAAAATGGGGAACCCAAACTTGCATAGTGTGCTTTTTACAATAAAATTCACTGTTTTGTTTAGTGAACCAACACAGATAAGATTATTTTATCACAGATAAAAGCTCTGGTTATTTTTCCAGCATTTATATTCAAGGGTACTCCTAAGGAGAGCACTTCAGTAGTTAACCTAACTGGCCTCTGTGTACCACTGACCTCTGCAATTAAATGGAGCTGAACCAGAAATTAGCTCAGAAGTTAAAATATTACTGTCATTGTTGTGAAAACTTCAGCATATTATCAAATGGTAACTTTTATCAAAATGCAGAAATCTATTGTTCAGTTGAGATTTTAAGTAACTGGAACTGCACATTTTTTTAACCTCTTTTTCTTTTTTCATTTTGATTGAAAATACCAAAAGCCATTCTGAAGAGAATATTTCAGCTTTCACTTACAGGGTTACTTTAGAGGGGTTCTCTTTTAACATGTACAAATGATGGTGTAAAAATTTAAGTGCAGCATTTAACAAAGTGATGCTAAATGTGACACTAAATGTACAAATCACTCTGTTCTTATATATGTGGTCATGAAACAAAACCTGTCATGTTCTGATGCAAAATAGCAAAAACAATCCAGAAAATTAATAGTCATGCAAGTTTAAAAAATAATGATTTTTATTATTAATTACATGTAAGTAAATAAATTGAGGGGGAAAGCCCCTTAAATGAAGGCACTCTTCTAGATCAAAAAGGAGTTAAAAGGCAAGATGAACCTCTTGTCTTCTGCCATGGGTTTGTGCATACACAGAGTTGTGAATTTGATAAGCACTTGGTTAACTTCTGCTGGCCTGCACTAGCATCAGTTGAGATAAAAGTAACGATTGTTGGTGTCCTAGGAAGGCTGTGAACCATCCAGGCTGTGCTGCAGTGAAGTGGCCCTGTCAGATCCATAAAACACAACTTGCACTGAAGAAAAGTGGTTGAGCAGCTCTGTCTGGGCCCGGGATGTGAGGCCACGGTGCAGGACAGGAATCCATCCTGCTGTGCTCCCCTGTGTGACCCACAGCCCCAGCCCCAGAAAGGCACCTGAGCCCTTAGCAGGGACTTAGGCCAGTGCATCTCACTAAGCTCTACCATTAAGACCTTTCTTGCCCTGAGATCAACAACCCTCCAGAACTAGCTCAGATTTTTACCCAAAATAGCCCCAAGCTCTTGTGCACATGGCCAGCCCTGGCAGGAGAAGAGCTCACATCCAACATCCAGGCTGGGGTCTGGCAATGACATGTGCTGCTCCTCTTGCTTGAGGCTCAGCAGAGCACTCAGGCTCAGTGTGAAATTCTATAATCCATCATCCCACAAAAAGCAGCAGGGGTTAGTTCTGTCTTTGCAAATGCTGTGTGCAGGGGTGGGAGCAGGATACAGCCGATGGGACACAGCCTGGTACAATCCAGTGTCTGTTTAGTGAACCACTGAACAGTCTATGTAATACTGTAGGTGAGTTCAGTATCCTGAGTGGCCAGGACCTACGTAAAATCTCTGGGACAGAACCACAAAGTTTCTAGGAGTGTTTTAAATTGTGTCTTGGTTGATGTTTTTTTTAATGTTTGCTGTATCTGCAGATGCATACAAACCATGTAAGAGTGAGGTGTTTTCTTGTTGGAGAGGAGGGTTAAAGAGATGCTGCCAATTTTAAGCTTTGGAGGAAAAGGCTTTTATTTTAAAGAATAAAATTGCTTTGATATTTGAAAAGCTGTTCTGCTTTTCTACAGAATTTGCTGAAATACCTTTTCAATGATTAAAAAAATATTTTAACTCTCTTCCAAGTCTAGGGAGTGTGCAGCTAGGGCCATGGAAGCTTATGAACAGAGGAGCTTTGAAATGGGCTGTCTTCTCTTCAACTGCTCCAAATGTTTGACCTTGTATCAGCACCAAAAACTTGCTGTTGTGCTGTAAGGCAAGTCAGCTGTTAACTTA